TATATATATATATATATATATATATATATATATATATTGAATTAACAAAAAAGAAAAACAAGTTTTGTTTTGTAATTTTTAATAATATTGTAGAAAAAAAATATTTTTTAATAATAGTGTAGAAACGATAGTACACCATAGTATAACATAGTACACCATAGTATACTATAGAATTTTTGAAATCTGCTGAATTATTTAACAAAAAGAAGAAAAAAAATCGGATAGTACACCATAGTATAACATAGTACACCATAGTATACTATAGAATTTTTGAAATCTGCTGAATTATTTAACAAAAGGAAGAAAAAAAATCGTAATTTCAAAAACGATGTTATAAATAAGAAAAAAAGATTGTTTATAATAATATAAAATAATGCAAAGTGTAAATTGAAAAAATAAAGATGAGTGAAAGGGCATTTTCGGAATGAATTTAATAAAGGACTTGAAGCAAATGTTTAGTTAAACTTGTCATTTAGTTCTAATTAGTTTTGTCACTAGGGACCTATATCTTAAGGCCCCTATATATATATATATATATATATATATATATATATATATATATATATATATATATATATATATATATATATATATATATATATATATATATGCCTATAGAAATCAATTAACCTAAGTTGTAACAGTTAAGTTGTGGAAACAGTATTCAGTTACAACTGTAAATCTTGTTTTGGCACAGTTATACTCTACTTAAAGTAAATAAACAGAACACAAGAATTAATGTGGTTCAGACACAATTGTGCCCTACATCCACGTGGACATGCAAACACGATCGAACTTCGTGTTTCTTCCAACAGCAGCTCCACACCGCGTGCCTAGAACACCTTTCTGGCCTGAACTCCCTTCAGTGACGCGGTTGATCTCCCAGGAGATCTATACAGCAAATCTGTATATGTTGACACATCCAACGATGGCACAGTTCTGTTCATCAGCAGAACGTTTCAGCGATTCTTCAAAGCAATGGAGTGATTTTTCTCCCAAAAAATGTGTCGCAGTCTTTGTGAGGTGAGGAGCCTTATATAGGCGTGAGATCGGCCTCCAAAGACCTGTCTTCCAAAGGAACCGAATAACTAGGAAACAGAATCCTAGTCAATATCTAGTTCTAATCTAGATAACTATAAAAGATTCATAACAAGAGTAAAGTACAAGGAAATAAATCTAAGTCCTAAAGTATTACAAATGTAGGACTCTAAATTTCCAAAATAAACATGGGAACAAATCTTTAGCCAATTTTTACTTCCCAAGTGAGGCGAATTTCTTCCTTGGTGGAAATCTAGCGCCAACAATATATATATAAAGATCATGCATATTAATTTTTATTCAATTTTTAAATTCTATAAAAATATACAATTAATTTAAAAAACAACAAAAAAATACAATTGAGAAAAATTACTTTCATGATTGACTAGTTAATAAGGTAAAACAAAATATTAATGCATAATTTATCACACATCATGAGATCATTTTACAAAAAAAATATGAAATGAATTTTCTCAATATTAAAGTTTAAGTAATTAGTAATTACAGACAGGATATAAGGTATTAAAATGTCTACCTTTTATTTTGTTAGGAATGTAGTACATGATTTGGTCTCGGTGCGACTTATGTCGTAAGACCACTTATTTATTAAAAAAATAATAATTTATTATTATTGAGAGCATTTGTTGTTTTGGGCTTTTTTTTTAAATTAGGTTGAGATTTATTTATATTTAAGATAATTTATTGTCTTGGGCTTTAATTTTAACTTAGGTTGAGATTTATTTATATTTAAGGTAAAAAAAAAAAAAAAAAAATCTTAGACCCCAAGTCAAAAGCATTTCTCCAGAAACGAAATTAGGGTTCAGAGTGTTCTTCATAACTCCATTTCTTGTTTCAGTTTCTTCTTCGTTTTTGCGTCTCTCTCTCTTTTGTGGTAATACTATTTATTTTACCTTCTTTTAATTATTATTATTATTATTTTTATTTTTATATTTTTGGTTTAATTTTGTGAATGAGTAATTGGTTTGATTAATTAATATGTTTAATTGGAATAATTAAGGAACAAGGAAAAAAATGTCTACCTCCGCCGGCGATTCTGTTACGCCGAACCAATCGCAGGAGGCGATGGTTTCGGTTCAGGTACAGCAGCGGACTCTACAGATCCAATACACTGCCACGTCGGCATATGCTAACGTGCGCCAAGGGACGATGCCCCACGCGCCTCCTTATGCTAATGCGCACCGAGGGCCGAACCCCGCTAACGCGCATCAAGTGCCGCCTCCTGGCGGTAATGCGTACCGAGGGCCGCCCGCCGGTAACTTGCAACAGGTTCCGCCACCTGTCGGTGACGCGTTGCAACAAGTTCCGGCACCTGTCGTCGGTAACGCGTACCGAGGGCCGCCTCCAGCCGGTAACTTGCAACAAGTTCTGGCGCCTGTCGGTAACGCGTACCGAGGGGCGCCTGCGGGTAACTCGCAACAAGCGCTGCCACCTGGCGGTAACGTGCAACAGAGGCAGTCTGTCGCTAACATGTACCGCCAAGTGGCTGCCTGTGCTAGTTCGCGCCAAGTGGCTGCCTGTGCTAGTTCGCGCCAAGTGGCGGCCGGTGCTAACTCGCGCCAAGTGGCGGCCGGTGCTAATTCACACCAAGTGGTGACTGTAGCTAACATGCAACAAGTTGCAGCTATGGCTAGCGCTCACCAAGTTGCGGCCGGAGCTAATGCGCACCAAGCTGCGGCCATGGCTAACGCGCACCAAGCTGCGGCTGGAGGTAACGCGCACCAAGTTGCGGCCATGGCTAACGCGCACCAAGTTGTCTCTCTCGCTAATAACCCTCACCAAGTTGCGGCTGCCACTAACGAGCGCCAATTGGCCCCCGGCGCTAACCCGTACGTGATGAGGGCTAACCCTAGCACCCACCAAGCGAGGGCCCACCCCTACCAAATAAGGGCGAACCCCGAACAATCGACGCAAATCATCAACCGATTGAAGCAAGGCCTCAATGGATTGAAGGCATACATCACACAAAATAATGATGGTATATAGATCTACTACTCTTTTAAATTTCACTCATTCTTTATATTAATTCCTTCAATTATTAATTTTCCCCTTTATTTTTGTTTGTGTTTTAGTCATACAAACACACGAAGCACTATTCACAAACGACGAGCGTATGATAATCCAGCTGCTCCAGCAAGCAGCAGATTCTGGCCCTAACGTCGCACGAGACGATCAACCTAATCCGGCTTGAAGAAAGAATATCCGTTGCAAGTTTCGAACAATATTTATTTTAGACTAGGCACTATTTCGTAATATTTATAATCCATTTCTTATGGTATATGTACATATTTAATTATTCTTTAGTTTGAGAGACCTCTCTCTGTAGTTCTTAAATGTATTTCGAAATAGATTAAGAGATACTTCTTTTTTTTTTTCTTTCATTAATTTGTTTATGTTCCGATCGATTGCAAAAATTCGAAGTTTGCCGAATCATCTATGAGTAATTGGTATTATATATGCCTTTTTGATCCTTTGTGTTTCGAGGACTTGATCGTTCTCCTCGATTTTCGAGACATTGACTAGTTTTGACAATGTTACCCCTTGCAGTTTGGCTATCGTAAGATTAACGGAGTTGCGGGCCAACTTGCTGAGATCGGGATTATTTTGGAAAGAAACGAAACTATTCTAGTTAGTATATTTGATTTTGAAAGGGAATTGCTTTTTGCGGTTTGAAAATTGCTATTTGCGGTTTATAATAAAACTCCCCAAAAAAACACTTTATTTCACTAAAACCCCAAAACTTTTCAAAAAAGTCCAAACCCCCCCCCCCCCCCCCCCCCAAAACGCGTAAAAGCCCAACTTGGGCGTCCATTCATGCAGTGCACGCCCAAGTTGGGCGTGCAAACTGCATTTGGGCGCCCGAGTTGGGCATCCAGTGCAAATTTTTTTATTTTTTTTTTAAATGTTCGAACGCCCAAGATGGGCGCCCAAGGCGTGTACGAACGCCCTCGTACACGCCTTGGGCGTTCGAACATTTTTTTGCGAAAAAAAAAACCCTACAAATCGATTTGTAGGGCTTTTTAACATGAAATTGGTTCCGTAATCGACCTACCCAATGCATATTACACATAAAAAAGTCGAAATTACATCAAAAAGTCGAAGCCCAACCCTTCTTCAAGCTTGATTTCGAATTTTTGATTTTTTTTTGCTATTTGCAGTTTTGGGGGGTTTTTAGATATTTTTAAAAGTTTTGGGGGGTTTTGTTAAAAACCGCGAATAGCAATTTTGTGACCGCAAGTAGCATTTCATTTTTGAAATGTCATATTTTGTTGTGTTTGGCCTCTCACTTGTGCAGAATTATAAAGCATTGTTTGTACTTTTTAACTGAATTTTCGAAAATTATACAAGTCATAATATCCGAAATTTCGGAAATTTCCAGGATTGAAACAAATTTTTGGATTTTAAAAAATTTGTAATTGAAATTGGAAGTGTTATCTCGTATCTGATTCACATTTTTTTTCTTTCTGAAACACGTGTTTTTTCGATCCGATTCATCCCTAGTAATATCTATCTTATTTGATAATCAATACTCCATCCATCCCATATTATATATTGTTTGGGGTTCTTGTTGAGATATTATGAAACTCAATAAATACACATGTCAACAAATATTTATCAATTAACTATTTAAAAGTGATAAGGGATAAAATTAAAAATAGTGTAATTAATAATTTATTGAAAATATAAAGTGACAAATAATTTAGGACAAAAAAATTATATATAAAAAACAAATAGGGGTTCTTGCGGGGAATACGATGCTACACCCGGTGATTTTCACCGGGTGGCTCTTTTCTTGACATGTGTCTTTTTTATTTATTTTATAATTATATTTCTAAAACCCATTAGGCCATAACTGAACCCGTAGTGAGAATCTTATTAATTATGGTGCCTGGTTATATTCAATAGGTGTAACATAAAATTTCCCAGATTGTTGCTCAGATATTATGAAACTCACTAAATACACATGTCAACAAATATTTTTCAATAACTATTCCAAAGTGATAAGGAAAAAATAAAAAATAGTGTAATTAATAATTTATTGAAAATATAAAGTAACAAATAATTTAGGATAAAAAAAAGGGTTTATTAGGGATAACCCCCTTGTTCATATTTTCTAATAAGGTAGATCCAATTTTTTTTCCCTTTTTTGAAATAGATCCAATTTTGCCAACTTGGCAAAATATATTATATAATTTTCCTTTAATAGCCCTGTTTTATTTTTAAACGGCATTTATTTCCTTTACTACGTGATTTGAGATTTGCTGATACGTTGCCTAAAATCACGGAATAAAATTACGTGAGATCATTGGCCGTTATATCAAATCGTGTACAATATTTTTCGAAGGTTCACTTCAGCGTTCCAGCGGTTTTTTATCGTCTTTGAAGATTTCTGCACCGTCGTTGAAATAGGATCGAATTTGAGCGTTCGTTGTTGGACGTTGTTAACCGGGTATGAATGCGTTATTCGTTTTTATTTTTCGCTCAGTGTCTAGGATTGTCGATTACGGTGGTTAGAAATTTTTAAGAGTTGTGTTGATACTTGATTCTATTAAGTAGAACGTTTTTTAACAAAATTATTCCGTCATATATACATCGTTATTTTTGGCGGATGATGTTTGTTTGGAAGATGATTGCCAGAGTTAGATGAGGATGGTTTACGCATATCGGACCAGAGTTGTTTTATATGAACATCGTAGTTGGTTTACGCATTAATTGAAATAACTGTCCGCTGTCGTGGAGTTCATGAGTCTGATCCCGGTCGATAGTTAGTTTATTTGTTTATAACAGCGGATTTTAGGACGCTGGGTAGTACATTAAAATATATTTCGTAGTATTTTTTAAGTTATCGTATGAATTTTGCATTTTAAGTTTATTTTTGATCATGTTAATATAGTTTTTAGTATTCTGCATTTTTAATGTCGTATCATATTAATATATACATCGTTATTTTTGGCGGATGATGTTTGTTTGGAAGAGGATTGACAGAGTTAGAAGAGGATGGTTCACGCAGATCGGACCAGAGTTGTTTTATATGGGCTTCGTAGTTGGTTTATGCAATAATCGGAATAATTGTCCGCTGTGGTCGAGTTCATGTTTTTGATCCCGATCGATAGTTGGTTTATTTGTTTATAACAACCGATTTAAGTGTGCTGGGTAGTACATTAAAATATAGTTCGTAGTCTTTTTTAAATTAGCGTATGGATTTTGCATTTTAAGTTTATTTTTGATGATATTAATGTATTGTCATTCAAATGTATTTGCAGTCTATTTAATCATTTTTTAGTATTCTGCATTTTTAATTTTGTTTCATGATTTTAGGTTTTTTCGATGGCGAATTTCGTACGGATTTTGTTGAGGTTTGGTGGGTTGGTTGCTATAAAGAGGTGTTTACGATGTAATGGCTCGGTAACTTCGGTTAAGTTTTAAACCGTTGTAATACAGTAGTATACTATTATGAATACCGTATGATACTACCATTATCATTTTATTATACTATTATGAGATTATTAATGTACTAGAGTTTTAACTCGACATATTGGTTTGATTGTGTTATGATGTGTTTTATGCAAGGTTGTTAAAATCGGTAATCGGGTCCAAGTCGGTCAGGCACCGACTCACGATTAATCGGTGCGGCGGTGATTAATCGGTGATAAATCGGAAATAAATCGGTTTTTTAAAATTTAATGTAATATATTTCTAAATATTATTTATAAATACTCCAAACATATATAAAAAGATATTTAAACATAGTTATATCTCCATCATGTATATATCCTAATAACATAATAAAAGTTTAATAATCATAAGATCATAATACATAAATATCCTTATAAAATATAAATAAAAAAAATATTTTTTTGAATTTACATTTATTCTTGAACATTCGTGGCATACATCATTAGTTCTTTAACAATAACAATTAACATAAACAGAATAAGGCATAAACTCATATTTTCTTTTATTAAAATCCAACTTTTATTTTGAATTAAAAAAAAAAAAAAAAAAAAAAAAAAAACCGATTTTTGCCACCGAGTTTGACCCGCCTTAAAGGTTTGACCGCCTCGGACCGCCTCAGACCGCCTCACAGGCAAAAAACCGATTTTTCAAACCTTTACACTAAAATCGTAAAGGTTTTGGACCGCCTCCGCCTCGGAGACCGATTAATCGGCCGCCTCGGCCGATTTTTAGAACACTGGTTTTATGTATTTTATCAAAACCCTAGATTGAAATTATGAGATTATTAATGTACTATTTTATTGGTTATGTTGGAATACTTTACGTTGGTGTTGTTCTCAATGTTCTTGTCGTTTCAGTGGTATATTCTTTGTAACACAATTCATATCACTACTATAACCGTAATATACTATCATAGCAGATCAATGTACTATATTGAAATTATTAATATACTATGTGGTTGAATAATACGGGATCCATAGTTGATTAACGAGATCCATAGTCGAATTAGATCAATAAAATAGTCTATTACATGATATAAGGAAAATTACCCTAATTGATTAGTATTTCAAACAAACATATTATTCAGTTTCCATATATATTATTATTTTTCATATATATTATTATTTACCTTAATCGTTTTCATATAATAAGGAAAATTACCCTAATTAATTAGTATTTCAAACAAACATATTATTCAGTTTTCATATATATTATTATTTTTTCAATAGTCAACTAACTAAACCCATAGTCGAGTTAGATACATGGGATAGTCTATTAAAAGATATGAGATAGTCTATTAATTTTAAAACACAAATCCGCCGCCGTCACTTCTCAAATCTAGGGTTTTGATGATTCTTCGGCCCATAGTCGATTAACGAGATCCATAGTAAAATTATACCAGTGGGATAGTCTATTAAATGATATGGGATAGTATATTAATACAGATGTAATTCGACTATGCATCTCGTTAATCAACTTGTTAGAGTAGGTGACCAACAAGCCAACTTGTGGCTGTGGTCTTTCGCATTTATTATGGTAATAAACGAACCTTTATTCGTATTAATGATAAAACACCTTGGCATTCTATATCTTTGTCCCTTTGTCACAAGCATAGATATAGTCCTTACAGTTATTACAAGTACTAGTAATTGATCGTTAGGATCGTGAGATATTTACTTAAGTATTATAACTGTTAAACGTGTTCCTAGTCGAAGGGTTACGCCACCAATGAGGATATCGGCCTTTCCCATTAGAAGACTAGCACTTAGTGTATGTGTACTGCATCTCATCAGTAAACGGTATTGTGATATCGGCATGCATAAGTGGGTGCTCGTAAGTTGACGAGTTCACTGAACTCCCTCACCCTAGAAATCTCTAAGTGGTTCCCAATAATCGAGTAGAGATATCTATGGTATAGTTGTACACCATTAGTCCTTATGACCTAGACATCACCGTGACTTCACTAGAGGACCAGCTGTATCGTGACCTGTTCCTGAGTTCCACCGAGGACCATCCCAAGGGCCAGTGTTCGTGCAGTCCGAAATCTAGTGGGAGGTCTGTGCATTGTAGTCGGGGATTCGATCGCTAGAATAGTCTTGGATGTCCTGTGTGTTCTGAAAGTTTGTAATCATTCTAAGTCTCTGGCCAGAGCTGACTAAGTGATGATTAGAGAATTCGATTCTCT